TCTCTACTAAAACTACAAAAATTAGCCAGGTGTGGTGGCACATGCTTATAATCCCAGCTACTTGGGAAGCTGAAGCATGAGAATGGCTGGAACTGGGGAGACGGAGGTTGCAGTGAGCTAAGTTCTACCATTGCACTCCAGCCTGGGTGACAGGGCGAGACTCCGTCCCCTTGCCCCCCAAAATAAATAAAATGGTGGCCAGGTGGTGGTTCACACCTGTAATCCCAGCACTTTGGGAGGCTGAGGTGGGTGGATCACCTGAGGTTAGGCGTTTGAGACCAGTCTGGCCAACATGGTGAAACCCTGTCTCTACTAAAAATACAAAAATTAGCCAGGCGTGGTGGCGGGAGCCTGTAATCCCAGCTACTCTGGAGGCTGAGGCAGGAGAATCGCTTGAACCAGGGAGGCGGAGGTGTAGTGAGCCAAGACTGTGCCACTGCACTCCAGCCTGGGCAACAAGAACGAAACTCTGCCTCAAAAAATAATAATAAATAAATTTTTAAAATGGCATTTTTGCTACAAGAGACAATTTCAAAGATATTTTCCTTATTAGAGGGAAATGTTTGAACTTCCCTGACATCTATTGATCTAAAAAAGTACCTTAAAAAAGAAGCCCACTAAGTCCAGAAAGTCAAAATTACTTCTGGTGACTACAAATTCACAAATACTAGAAATTCACAAATACTAGAAATTCACAAATACTAGAAATTCACAAATACTAGAAATTCATAAATACTATCCATTTACACTTATGCTGACTGGATCCCAACAATTTTTAAAGGTTTATTCTGTCCATGGGAAAAGTAAACTCAGATCTGCCAACTTAAATAAACATCACCTTACCGTGAGGTTGCGGCCATATTTTGCCACGTGTAGAAAAGTGATTTAAAGATAAGAAGCCAAAGGATAGAGATAAACAATTAGGAATCATCTATCCTGATGATTTAGAACCTCAGGGAACAAGTATTAAGACAGGTCTCAGGCCAGGCACGGTGGCTCCTGCCTACAATCCCAGCAGTTTGGGAGGCCAAGGCAGGCAGATCACCTGAGGTCGGGAGTTTGAGACCAGCCTGGCCAACACTGGTGAAACCCCATCTCTACTAAGAAATACAAAAATTAGCCAGCTGTGGTGGTGGGCACCTGTAATCCCAGCTACTTGGGAGGCTGAGGCAGAAGAATCGCTTGAACTCGGGAGGTGGAAGTTGCAGTGAGCCAAGATCGCACCATTGCACTCCAGCCCGGGCAACAGGAGCGAAACTCCGTCTCAAAAAGAAAAAAAAAAAAAAGGCAGGTCTCATTTATCATTTTCCCACATAATCCAGAAGACTGAATGTTGAGCAAAATCTCCAGGCTTACAGATGATTTTAAGTTCCTCTGAATAGTAAAATGTCAAATTGATGGCTATAAACCACAAGAAAATCTTACAAGCCCAGGTGGTGGGGTAGTAAGGTGGTAAGCTCTGTTGTGAGCATATAAAAGTAATGTATTCCGGAGAAATGACTCAAGCTGTAATTATAAGCTATCAAGTTACAATGCTGGTGTGAATCTCTGATTCATTCAGAATGAGAGTAAGATGTCAGGAAAAACTTCAAAGAGGAGGCTACCAGTGAGCAAATTTGTGGGGATGTGTCAGGGGATCTGGGGAAGGCTAGGAAAGAAACTGCGTTTTTTTAAACTGTTGAAAAAATTCTAAAAGTTCTCTATTACAGAGGCAGCATGACACTACACAGAACTCTCCCTCCAACCCACCTACCCTCAACCGAAGTACAAAAGGTGCTTTATCTTCCACACTACCCAGGACAGAAGTGTCTGGGCAAGCAGTCAGTGTGGCTTAAAGAAGGGGAGTGATGGAAGTTATCTAAGATTCCCACAGATAGTAATCTTCCTCACACCTTACTCCACCCTCTAACTGGGTTTGAACTTTGTATCTAATAACAGTTTTCTAAAAATAGAGTACTAAAAAGAAGCCTATGAACTAAGATACTCAGGCATGTTTTAAGATAGTACTTTATGCCAGAGGTTTAGAAAAAGCCAGAATGTTAGTGTTTGAATCCTCTTCTGCCACTTATTAGCAGTGACCTATAGTAAGTTACTTAAAGTCTTACGTTTGCTTCTACATCAAAAAAGTGAGATGAAAGTAGTATCTACTGAGCAGCGTCGTTAGGAAGGACGTGTGAAGCACTCAGACCAGTACCTGACATAAAGGGACTTCTGAAGAATTGTAGCTTCTTCTTATTATTATTAGTAAAAAGCCCATCTTATTTTAAAAAGTCCTTGAGCACATTCATATAATCTAACCTGGTATCGCAAATTATTTACCTTAATGAGACCATCTCCTTGGGCGAAGCACGGATCCTGCACAAAATCAAGCACCTGAAGTGTCAGCTGATGCCACAACCTGAAAAACATACAGCCCTTAAGACCTCTAACCTAATATCCAGTCACAGACACCTTCAGCCTTGATGATCCTATCAAGTCACAAATATAGGTTGGGTATCTCTAATCCAAAACTCCAAAATTCAAAATGCTCCAAAATCCAAAACTTTCTGAGCACCAACGTAAGGCTCAAAGGAAACGACCATTGGAGCATCTCAGATTTCAGATTTTTGATTCATGGATACTGAATGGGTAAGCACATATCGAAAATATTTCAAAATCCGAAAAAAAACTAAATCCAAAAAACTTTTGCCCCAATGCATTTCTTTCTTCTTCTTTCTTTCCTTTTTTTTTTTTTTTGAGACAGAGTCTCACTCTGTTGCCCAGGCTGTAGTGCGGTGGCACCATCTTGGCTCACTGCAACCTCTGCCTCCCAGGTTCAAGTGATTCTCCTGCCTCAGCCTCCCAAGTAGCTGAGATTACAGGCATGAGCCACCGTGCCCCGCCGCCCCAATGCATTTCTGGTAAGAGATGCTAAATCCATACTAACCAGTCTCTACTGTGTAGTAGAAAGAATGCTAAAGCAGATGCAATAAACCTGAGTTCTTTTCCTGGCTCTGCTGTTGAATGGCTATGTCACTTTAAGATCACTTAACTTCTCTCTAAGGCTCAGTTTTCCCAGGTATGAAATGGAGAACATTATTCTAGATTACCTTAGAGGGTTACTGTGAGGTTTGATTGGAAACGAGAACTTTGAAATCATACATATCTACCTTGAGATTCTGGCTCTTCTACCTATTAGCTAGTATCTCAGGGAAGACAATTAAAATGAGCTTCAGTTTCCTCCTCTGTGAAAAGGATGAATAAAGGATTAAATAAGCTAATATATAAAACCTCCAGGCCAGTGACATAGCGCTTCATCCAAAACCTAAATGCTAATATTTAATAACGCATATGAAATGCTTTGAAAATTACCAAGTGCTATCCAACACAAACCATTATTTGCCAAACATTAATTTGCTCTCAAAAACTGCTAATAGCAGAAGGCTGCTGAATGCTAAACATCATGAAAACATGTAAGGAACATCTATGTGAAAGGTATTATATTAAATGCTAGGGTTAACAGGGAGGTTACTACAGGAGATGTATTTTCTATGGAATAGCTCCAGCCCAATGCCAGCAATTTATCCTATCATTTAAAAAGGAAATTAGTGCTTAGCAACAATTTAATGGCTCTGCAATTCATCCTGTTTCTAAACAAACTTAAACTTTAAGATCTTTCTAGGGGCACACAGCCCAGCGAGAAATACAGTGGAAGGTAAAGATAATGGGACGGGGTGCAACCAGTTGCAGAATGAATAGGGAAGAGAGCAAAGCTGCACTAGCCTCTGGTTTATCAACTCCAGACCATGAGAAAGATAACTGTCAGTTACACCATGACAAGGCTAAGCGCGAATCACCAAGATCAAAGTGGGTGGCAATCTGGTTCTGAAAGTGTGTTTGCTTGTTTCGCTGGAATACAGAGCTAAAAGCAAAGGCTTCCCCTGAACCGTCTTAGTAAGACCCGAGGTAGACGAGTTCAGAAGCCTCAGTCACAGTCCCTCGTTAGGGAAGCACTGAATCTCAGACCCAAACATCCTGGCTACAGCTATTGGCCCTCGTGGTCTGTCATCCTTCTTATTCCTCGACCCTGCCACTCGGGGTTCCTCAGCAAACCCTGCTGGCACAGCCAGTCGCTACACGTCCCCGTTTCCCCGCAACTTGGGTCTGGGCGCCCTCAGCCCATCAAGGGCCCGCTTCTCCGCCCGCCCGCCCCCTCCGTCTCCCTCTATCGCCGGGGCCCAGGGCCCGTCTGTCTGCTCGGAGCTTACTTCTTCGTGTAGAGTTCCTCCAGACGGTGCCACACAGCGGGCTGTCCGGGCCCGGAGCTCTGGCTCTGCTGTAGGAAGCCCGGTACGTCCTTCATGACAGTAGGAAGACCCCCGGCACTGATGAAAAACCGGGATGTCAGCCCCGCGGGGATGTCTGCCGGAAATGCTCACTCACTTCCGGCGCCGCGCGGCGCGGGGCAGGCTGGGAGCGCCGTAGCCGGCCGGGGGGCGGGGCCCGCTGGTTGCCCGGTAACCGCGCATGTCTGCGCTCGGGACAAAACTCTCGGCGTTTGCAGCCCGCTTCCCGCGCACCTGGTTGTGCCATTGAGGCTTAAAAAGTATGGGTGCCTGTGGTCGAACCGGCCATGGACTAGCTTTGTGGTGTTAGCCTTTGTGACCCGGAATTGCTCCTCTCAAATGACCTTCCCAGTAGGGTCTTGCGAGGACTAGGTGTAAATATAATGTCTGACCATAGTAAAAGCGCTCAGAAAGTATTAACTGTCACCGCCATCCGGGTTGAAAAAGGTGTGAGCGCAGGGTACAGAAATGCTGGCTCCAGGTTTGACCTCCTGGGCGAGAGGTCAGACACCAGACTAGGGAACTTCCTCTGCTCGGCCTCAGCGTCTACCAGGTCGCGCTGGAGGCGTGGACACGGAGGCGGGGCCGGGAGCGGAGGCGGGGCCGGGAGGCGGAGGCGGAGGCGGGGCCGGGAGGCGGAGGCGGGGCCGGGAGGCGGAGGCGGGGCCGGGAGGCGGAGGCGGGGCCGGGAGGCGGAGGCGGGGCCGGGACGCGGAGGCGGGGCCGGGACGCGGAGGCGGGGCGAGTCCGGAGGACTCCTCAGGCTGCGGGTAACATGGCGTTCTGGGGTTGGCGCGCCGGGGCAGCCGTCCGGGTGTGGGGCCGGGTAGCTGAACGGGCCGAGGCCGGGGGAGGCGTGGGGCCGTTCCAGGCCTGGAGCTGTCGGCTGGTGCTTGGCGGCAGGGACGATGTCAGTGCGGGACCGAGAGGCAGCCGCGGGGTCCGCGGTGAGCCCTTGGACTCGGCGCGCCCCTTGCAGAGGCCTCCCAGACCCGCGGTGCCCAGGGCATTCCGGAGGCAGCCGAGGGCAGCAGCTCCCGGTTTCTTCTTTTCGAGGTATTTTGGGCAAGGACAAGCACTTCTTGCGTGTTCGTTGTCTACACCTCGCCCCCCTTTCTCACCTTGCCGTGTTTCCTTTGAGGCATGTCTGGGAGTTACTTCCGTTCCAACACCCGGGGCCTCCGTCTTTACGCTGATCTGTGGACGTCCTTTACGGGGTTTTGTCGTTTAGTTCACCATTCCCCCATTGAAATACCTTCTAACCTTTAGTTACTTACATCATGCTGTGGTGAATAACCTTGTTTGCACCTCACTTTTTGCATAAATTCCTAGTACTGGGACTGCTAGGTCCAAAAGTATATGCATTTAACGCTTTAATTATCCCTCATAAATGTTGTGCGGTTAATGCTCCCACCCCATGTGATCATACCCGTCTCCATAGTTATTGCATCTAAGAGCTGAGCCTACATAGGAAAAAATCTTAAGGTCCATGGTTGTTAGGTATCAAATGCCGTATAATGGATGAATATTTAAGTAAATAATGGTACATTGACTTGATGCTGTCTGACACACTGCTGAAAATATTGATGAAAAGTGAGGCTTGAAGTGGTAGCTCACCCTTGTAATACCAGCACTTTCGGAGGCTGAGACAGGGCGATAGCTTGAGGCCAGGAGTTCAAGACCAGCCTGGGCAACATAATGAGACCTCCATCTCTACAAAAAATTTAAAAATTAGCCGGGCATGGTGGCGCAAGCCTGTTGTCCCAGTTACTTCTGAGACTAAGGCAAGAGGATCCCTTGAGTCGAGGAGTTCAAGGCTGCAGTGAGCTATGATTGAGTCACTGCACTCCAGCCTGGGTGACAGAGCAAGAGTCTTATCTACCTGGGAAAAAAAAGAAAAAAAAAGTTTAACAGATCCTGAAACGTCGGCTGGGCGTGGTGGCTCATGCCTGTAATCCTAGCACTTTGGGAGGATGAGGCAAGTGGATAACGAGGTCAGGATTTCGAGACTAGCCTGGCCAACATGGTGAAACCCCGTTTCTACTAAAATTACAAAAATTAGCTGGGGGTGGTGGTGGGCGCCTGTAATCCCAGCTACTCGGGAGGCGGAGGCAGGAGAATCACCTGAACCCGGAAGGCGGAGGTTGCAGTGAGCTGAGATTGCACCATTGCACTCCAGCCCAGGCGAAAGAGCAAAACTCCGCCTCAAACAAAAGATCCTGAAGAGTCAGTCATTCATCCAAGAAGCCCTGAGTGAGCTCTTGTTCTGTGCCAGACTCTGCTCTAGGTGCTATGGATGGAGCGGGGACCAGGACCGACAAACACATGGAGCGCATTCTAGTATCAGTGATACTCTGCAAGACTGTTAAACAAATCCTTGCTACCACTGGCCCTAAAGCAGGAGGCACAGGGCTCCCTATGAGGAGTCCATTGCATGGGCTTTCTGCAGTTTGGCTTTGGATTTTTGAGCTCTCTGAATTTGTTCTTTGTGTAATTTGCACAGTGTCCCTCCCAGGTTGCCCCCATGCCTGCCCCTCGGGGTCCCCCACTCCCAGTGAATTTCACACCATGCAGCATATACTTTAAGCCATACATCTGATGTTCCAGACATTTAGTAAAATGCCGTTTATGTGTTATTCAGTGACTCACAAACATTTTATTTACGTAGATGAGGAATGTACTCAGGCACCCTTCAGGATACCTTGGCCTTAGCAGGCACTCAACAGCCATAATAACTTTCATTCCTTTATGCTTCTCTTAACAGTTCATGTTTAGTAGCAGCACAGTAGCTATTTGAGGAATGACTTTAAGTTAATAAATGTCTGAAATGGGGCATTTAATAGGTGGTGAGATGGTTTTAGAGCCAGGGTTTTCCCTCTTTGCTTCTTGACTACTTGACGAGTTTTCATTAGAAAACCCCTTTGGAGGTTTGCACTCAGTCAGAGAGTTGAGTGCCTACTGAGTGTACTGAATTGTGAAATGAGCACAGTTCCCATTAACCTGAAATTTTTGCTCCCAAATAAGTCTTGATTCTGATTTATGACTGCTTTCCGTTGTAGCCCACTAGTCATCTGAGAAAGGTGATTATTTTGAGAGGCCTGGGAGGACATACATGGTCATTCTCGATGATGGGGGTGGTGCAGAGGGCAGAACCATGCTTTCTTGCTATCCTGAGACTGGTCGCTATCTGTTTCCTTTGCTGCTGTGTTTTTTTCTGTCAGTATTAAAGGTGGAAGAAGGCCTATATCTTTTTCTGTGGGTGCTTCAAGTGTTGTTGGAAGTGGAGGCGACAGTGACAAGGGGAAGCTTTCCCTGCAGGATGTAGCTGAGCTGATTCGGGCCAGAGCCTGCCAGAGGGTGGTGGCCATGGTGGGAGCCGGCATCAGCACACCCAGTGGCATTCCAGACTTCAGGTACTGCCCGCAGTCCCACCTGCCTTCTGCACTCCCCTCCCCTGCCTCCTGCCCTCCCCACTGCCCGGTTTCTTGCAAAGGCCTCAGAGCCTCTGTCTTCTCTCCCTGCAGATCTCCGGGGAGTGGCCTGTACAGCAACCTCCAGCAGTACGATCTCCCGTACCCCGAGGCCATTTTCGAACTCCCATTCTTCTTTCACAACCCCAAGCCCTTTTTCACTTTGGCCAAGGAGCTGTACCCTGGAAACTATAAGCCCAACATCACTCACTACTTCCTCCGGCTGCTTCATGACAAGGGGCTGCTTCTGCGGCTCTACACGCAGAACATCGATGGGCTTGAGCGAGGTGAGCCCTCTGTGAGTCGCACACATTCTTTTTCTCACAGGGAAGGCTCAGGTGCCTGTTTCTGGGGACGGCCGAAGCCTGGTGCTTGTGCTTCTTCCTTGGGACTGTTTTTGAGCCAACTAGTTAGGGCTTTGTTCCCAAGGAAAATGTCTCTGGGTGTTTAAAGGCCACCGCTTGTTCTCCTACATACCTGCAGAGCTGTGTATTTTGGGCAGAAGTTGACATTGTTTTGCCAATCTGGTGTGATGATCTCTCTTTTTTCTTCTCTCTTTTAAAAATTGTATTATGGAATTTTTTTGAGCACACGCAAAGAGAAAAATGTAACGAACCGTCCTGTCCTCATCACCAGCACATAGCCAGTCCTTCCTGCGTCCTCACCACCTTCTTCCAAATCCCCAGATTATTTTGAAGCAAACCTCTCATATCATGAATTTAATCTAGAAATAATCTATAAACACATGGATGGATATCTCTAGAGGATACTTTAAAAACAACTCTGGCCGGGTGTGGTGGCTCACATCTGTAATCCCAGCATTTTGGGAGGCCGAGGCAGGTGGATCACCTGAGGTCGGGAGTTCGAGACCAGCCTGGCCAACGTGGCAAAACCCCATCTCTACTAAAAATACAAAAAATTAGCCAGGCATGGAGGTGTGTGCCTGTAATCCCAGGTATTTGGGAGGCTAAGACAGGAGAATCTCTTGAACCCAGCAGGCGGAGGTTGCAGTGAGCCGAGATCACTCCACTTCACTCCAGCCTGGGTGACAGAGGGAGACTCTGTCTCAAAAAAATAAATAAAAATAAAAATAATTAAAAAAAAACACAAACCAACTCTGATACCATTTTCACGCTAAAGAATCACTAGTAATTCCTTAATATTGTCACACCCAGTCTGTGGTGATTTCTTGGCCATATCCACATGGTGCCCAAACCAGTGGTTCACAGGTTGTGCCACCTTCTGGCCGTGCACCTTACGGAAGCACTTGGTGGGGCCTTTTCCTTACGTGCAGTGCTGCGGACAGGCGCTGGGACAGTCAGCTCTCCGGGAGCCAGGAGCGGCTCAGCCAGTCTGCTGATGTGTTGTCAGGTAAAAAGAGGAGGCACCTTGGCTCCAGGCATGTGTTTCCTTGCCAGAAGGATCCCCTAGCTTGGAACCACAGAGGCAGCAGTGGATACCCCATGTTGGTGGTCTCTTCTCCCAGAGGTGCAGCAGGGCAGGCCTTGTGGGAAGGCGGGAGCTCCTGGCTGTGAGATTCAGCACTGCTGAGTTAGGGCAGCGACGGGGACTTGGGAAGCCTCCTACAGCGGGGACCATGACAATACTAACACAACCTTCATAGGAAGTCACTTTTTTTCTGTTTTTCTACCAAGCCGTTCTTTTGGAATTTATGATATTTATATCCTCATTTTTTTTAATTTACTTTTTTTATTTTTTTTATTTTTTTATTTTTTTATTTTTTTGAGACGGAGTCTCGCTGTGTCTCCCAGGCTGGAGTGCAGTGGCGTGATCTCGGCTCACTGCAAGCTCCGCCTCCCGGGTTCACGCCATTCTCCCGCCTCAGCCTCCCAAGTAGCTGAGACTACAGGCGCCCGCCACCACGCCCGGCTAGTTTTTTGTATTTTTAGTAGAGACGGGGTTTCACCTTGTTAGCCAGGATAGTCTCGATCTCCTGACCTCGTGATCCACCCGCCTTGGCCTCCCAAAGTGCTGGGATTACAGGCTTGAGCCACCGCGCCCGGCCTATATCCTCATTTTAACTTGGTATAGAATAGAAAATGTGTTCCTAGATATTGGATACAATTTTTTGAGACAGGGTCTTGGCTCTGTTGCCCAGGCTAGAGTGCAGTGGCATGATCATAGCTCACTATAGGCTGAGCTCTTGGGCTGAAGTGATCCTTTTGCCTCAGCCTCTGGACTAGCTGGGACTACAGGCATGCACTACCATGCCTGGCTAATTTGTAAAATTTTTAAAGACAAGTCTCACTGTGTTGCCCAGGTTGGTCTCAAACTCCTGGCCTCAAGTGATCCTCCTGCCTTGGCCTTCCAAAGCACTGGGATTACAGCTGTGAGCCACTGTGCCCAGCCTGGTATTGGATATAATTTTTTTTTTTGAGACAGAATCTCTCTCTGTCGCCCAAACTGGAGGGCAGTAGCACGATCTCAGCTCACTGCAACCTCCACCTCCCAGGTTCAAGCGATTCTCCTGCCTCAGCCTCCCCGAGTAACTGGGACTACAGGTGCCCGCCACCACATTCGGCTAATTTTTGTATTTTTAGTGGAGGTAGAGTTTCACCATGTTGGCCAGGCTGGTCTCAAACTCCTAACCTCGAATGATCTGCCCACCTTGGCCTCCCAAAGTGTTGGGATTACAGGCGTGGGCCACCGTGCCCGACTGGATATAATTTTATTTGAGCTTTTATCAAATGGTGTTTTGTACTGAGTTTTGACAGGCTTTGTTTTAACCGTGATTTGGCTCCAGCTGGGTGCCCCTTTGCTCCCCTGCCTTCTTCTGGTTGGTGGTGCATGTAGGTGATATGGGCATGAGCACCAGGCTTGAGGACATCGCAACCCAACGGGGTTGTGCCTCCTTCCAGGAGGCCTGTCAAGCCCAGAAGTTGTGCTCTGGGACTTGTGTGCTCATCTTGGAGGCAGCAGCAACACTTAGCTTTGGCTTGAATTTCAGTGTCGGGCATCCCTGCCTCAAAGCTGGTTGAAGCTCATGGAACCTTTGCCTCTGCCACCTGCACAGTCTGCCGAAGACCCTTCCCAGGGGAGGACTTTCGGGTGAGTTATCCTGCTGTTGGTCGTCCTTCTGCAGTTGGCTGTTGGGGTGATCTGGAAAAGTGGTATTTTATAAGCGTTGTCTCGAAAGGACAGTTGAACAGTAATAGTGTGAAAATTTTTATTTGTAAATTAGAAATTTAATACATGTTTGTAAAAAAATTTAAGATAATATAGAAATATGTAGGGAAGGCCGGGCGCGGTGGCTCAAGCCTGTAATCCCAGCACTTTGGGAGGCCGAGACAGCTGCGGATCACGGAGGGTTCAGGAGATCGAGGGGACCATCCTGGCTAAACACGGTGGGAACCCAGTTCTCTACTACAAAATACACAAACTAAGCGGCGA